AAGATGCAGCAGGGCTCTTTATCACGTCCTTCCCCAGAACTGCAGCCACTCGGTTTTATAGCAATTTAAGATTTTTATATTGAAAGCTGATGATGATGCATGGTCTTTCTGAGCCCAGCTGACTCAAAGAATGGAAAACTGAAGCCCCCCGGGAGCAGCAGTTGAGGATGTCCACACCCCACCTCCATTAGAATGAGGAGGGAGTGGAAGGAGACCCAGAGGAGGAGCCTGCTCCCCTGACTATCTGGCTCCATTAGCGAAGTTCTGTGTGACTTTGGGGTGCTCACTTCACCTCCCTGAACTTTACCTTTCCTGGTTTTCAATAAGGGCTCCTGGGAGCTGGAGAGATGGCTCCGCGGTTAAGAACACTGAATGTTCTTCCAGAAGACTCCGGTTCGAATCCCAGTGCCCACATGGCAGCTAATAACTGTCTGTAACTCCAGTTCCAGGGGATCCAACAGCCTCTTTTGTCCTCCATGGGCATTGCACGACATGGGTGCACTTACCTACATGCAGGTATACACGCATACACATAAAATAATAAATAATTTTTTTTTAAAAAAAAAGGCTCCTGGTTAAGTAATCATTAATGTGTGTTCTAATATTTGATATTCTAAAATAGACACATGCTAGGTTAAGAATCCAGGCCAAGGGGCTGGAGAGGTGGCTCAGCAGTTAAGAGCACTGACTGTTCTTGTAGAGGACCCGGGTTCAACTCCCAGCACCCGCATGGCAGCTAACAGCCATTCGTAACACCAGTTCTAGAGGCTCCAATGTCCTCTTCCGACTTCCATGGGCATTGCAAGACACGGGTGCACTTACATACAAGCAGGCAATATACTCATACACATAAAATAAAAAATAAGAAAAGAGTACAGGCCAAGTCCTGTTGTGAAGAAATTGTATTAACTTGGGGAGGTCGGTTAACCCCTCCTGGCCCCTGGAGGTGGATAGGAACCATGCTAGTCTCCTGTGCAGGTTTTAATAATGATAAAATAAAATTGGCATGAAGATTTATAGCTAAGCTGGAGGGACAGAATGCTGGGTTACTGGCATGAACCCCTATTACAAAAGAGTAAACTGAGTTCCCAGGGGAAAGAGGTGTCACAACTCGGGACACAGCGATCACATGGTTGGAAGCCCATATGTCAAACAGGAGAGAGTGCAAAGAAATTCAGAGAGGTGTCCTAAGGTCACGCAGCAAGTGGTTAACTGAGACAGGCTAAGTCAAGCTGGCAGACTTCCTGCCCAGTGCTTTTTCTTCTCCAGCCTTAGGGATAGAGGCAGAACTGGCCCTTCAGGCTGATTCTTCGCCCAAGCCCCTCCCCTGGCTCTCTTTGGGACTCTGGGATAGGCTAGCCTTGTCACTAGTACTGGGGATGTGCCTGGCTCTACTCCAGCCTGGGCAGTCAGCAAGAACAAGGCAAAGAAGGCACCCGGGCCAAGCAGTTGAGGAGAGGAGCCAGGCTGGGCTGGCTGGATCTGAGGACCTACCTGGAGGGATTGACTTGGATTGTTTCTGAAGTGGGGTTAGGGCAGTGTGTGATGATTCATCCAACTACCCAGCCCAGAAGTGACTTTCCAGTGTCACATCTCAGGTTTTACCTTCATGAGGGGCTGGAGAGATGGCTCAGCGGTTAAGAACACTGGTTGTTCTTACAGAAGACCCAGGTTCAAATCCCAGCACCCACATGGCAGCTAACAACTGTCCATAACTCCAGTCCCAGGGAATCTGACAGCCTCGTCTGACCTCCGCGGGCATTGCACGACACGGGTGCATTTATCTACGTGCAGCCAATACACGCATACACATAAAATAAAAATAATAAATAAAAAGAATAAAAATAACCTTCATGAAACTGTTACCACATGGAAGCATGGTACCTGGGGTGGCCTGAATCTGTGTTCCCAAGCTATGGTCGCTCATATGTGGCTCTCGAATAAACTACCTTTTCTCTTTGACATGAGAGTTGTGTTTTGCCATCCATGGTGGCAGACGGAAGGCACATGTAGTTGCTCTGCCAGAGGCTTGGAAAACAGCATGGGGCAACCTCAAGAAACTACAGCTGGAACAACACATGGCCCAGAATTCCACCGGAAGCCACAGAAGAGGGACCGGGACCAGACGCACACGTTCCTGCTCACAGCGTCCTAATTTCAACTACCTATGAGTGAAACCAGCATAGATGTCCATCAGTGGAGAAACGAAATCCAGACATGCCAGGAAACATTACTCAGCCTTGAAAAGGAACGGATTTCTAATGTGTGCTACAATGTGGATGGACTTGGGAGGCATTACAATGAGTGAGACAAGCCAGACACAAAAAGACACATACTACTGGGCGTAGAGGTACGTACCTAATCCCAGCACTCAAGACGGGGAGGCAGGACTATCAGGAATTCAAGGTCATCCTTGGCTACATAGCAAGTTCGAGGCCAGCCTGGGCTACACAAGACCCTGTCTCAAGGAAAAAAAACTTTTGTGTGTGTTCGTGTGTGCAAATATCAAATGGTTACATTTATATGAGGAATCTAGAATGAGAAAATTCACAGAAACAGTATCCTAGTTCGCTTCTCTGTTGCTGTGATAAAACACTGCCCAAAGCAAAGGAAAGGGTTTATTTAGCTTACAGCTCACAGTTCCTCAAGAGGGAGGTGAGCTCAGGGCAGGACTCTGGCGGAGGGAGCTGAAGCAGAGACCATGGAGGACGCTGCCTACTGACGTGCCCCATGTGGCGTGCTCAGCTTCCTTTCTTACACAGTCCAGGCCCACCTGCCCAGGGATGGCACTTCCCACAGTGGGCTGGACCTTCCCACATCAGTCAGCAGTTGAGAAGCTATCCCACAGACACACCCATAGGCCAGTCCAATGGAGGAAATTCCTCACTGGAGGCTCCCTCTTTCCAGGTGACTCTAGACTATGTCAGGTTGACAAACCCTAACCGGCACAAACAGGAAGTACGATGAAGGGTGGTTACCAAGACCTGGGGAGAGGGAAGTAGGAAGCTGGTGCTTTGTGGGGCGTTGAGGGTCAGTTTGGGAGGATGAACGAGGTTTGGAGGGAGGGGTGATGGTTGATGATAAGAATGTACTTGTGGGGCCAGAGAGATGGCTCGACAGTTAAGAACGCTGACTGCTGTTGCAGAAGACCCAGGTTCGAATCCCAGCACCCACATGGCAACTAACTGTCTGTAACTCCAGTTCCAGGGGATCTGACAGCCTCTCTGCCCTCTATGGCCATTGCACAACATAGATGCACTTACATACATGCAGGCAATACACGCATACACATAATAAAAAATAATAAATAGGGGCTGGAGAGATAGCTCAGCGGTTAAGAACACTGACTGTTCTTGCAGAAGACCCGGGTTCAAATCCCAGCACCCACATGGCAGCTAACAACTGTGTGTAACTCCAGTCCCAGGGGATCCGACAGCCTCTTTCGCGGGCATTGCACGACACGAGTGACTTACCTACACGCAGGCAATACACGAATACACATAAAATAAAAATAATAAATAA